CCAGCTGTGGCTACAGGGAGAACCTGTCTCAAAAAAGATCAAGCAAAAAAAAAAAAAAACCCAAAACACTGTCTATACAAGTGTGAGCGGTTGTATGCTCACTCCCTGCAACCCTCAAAATGGAGGCCACTCTGAAGGCCTTGGGTGGAAGCCAGAGGAGAGCAGTTCTGTTTGGTTGACCTTCAGCCACGCTGGCCTGTTCACCAAGTGTGGGGTCAGGAGGCCCTAAGCCTCTCTTCATCCTGCCAGGGACCTGTCATCAGTGACTGACTATTCCTCGGTTCCTGGCCCAGATTTCTGGGGGTTTGATCACCAAGTGAGACTGGCTGATGGCTAAGAATAAGTGGGTCTTTGGGACTAGCCAGAACCAAGCAATCCAAGCCAAGATTCTAAAGAAATTAGAGAGAGAGCATTTCCATCTCAGCATCCACCTGTGGGGAAGGGCTGGATGTAGACAATAGGCAGAGCCTTTTCTGAAAGCAAAAGGGACAGCCAAGATGCTGGGCACAGGCCCTTCACAAAGCCTCTGAGCAATGAGCTCAGAGCGAAGCATGATGATCATGGGAGCTGATAGCCTGCTTGGCCTGGATGACCTGGCTTCTCTCCATGAAGGTGAGGGATCAGGGGGCTTGGGGTGTGGCAGAGCCTGAGCAAAGGGCATTGCTATGCAGTACTCTCTCCAAGAACTCTGCATCAGGCATTCTGGGGTAGCTACAGCCTTAGCAGCTCAGGGTGAGGCACAGCCCTTCAGACAAAGTTCCTTGAGATTGAGGTGAAGTAGCACAGGTTAGGGGCCACCCAGGTTAGGAACTGAAGGCAGATTTATCACTGTCCTAACCTGAACAAGAAAGCAACATTAATGATCAGAAGAGGTCCCCTCAGGAGCCGGTCACACTAACACTTTAACACCTTCCTCCTCACCCATTGATCTTCTCCGGCTGGGGCCTTTACAGTGAGGTGGGATTTGGTATTTACTTTTTTTTAATTAGAAGGTATTTTATTTGATTATCACATCATTGGATAAAGCAACTTATCATACAATTCCCCCAAATCATTAATGCAGCATTCACAAAATAATGGTAGGACTCAAATTATCATGTTTGACATTCAAAATCACTGATTTTCAAGCTGGAAGGGAATTTTCCAATTTTGACTTCAAAAAATCTCTTTAAGCAAGCACACAGGTGAGAGTCCAACGTGTGAAGCTGTTAAACCCATGTCTACTCACTCTGATGGGAGAGGGAGGGCTGTAGATGCCCACCTGTTCCAAGTCCCTGGAAGAGCCATGGGTCTCTACTACAGAGTATTATTTGGGGACCATCCATCCCATCATTTAAAATACACACATGTGCCAAGCAGGCAAACCTATAAGCCCAGCACCGAGGAAGCTGAAACAGAAAAATAGTGAGTTCCAGACCAGCTTCAGCTGTATAGTAAGAAAAACAATAATGACAAAGATCAGACTTTAGCTCTCTTAAGATAGTTAGCTAAAGAGTTAAGAAAGAGGGAAGAAAGGGAAATCACATTCAAACAAGAATTCTTACTGGGAAATCAATAAAAAATTCATCTTTTGAAGGGATTAAGTGGTAACAGATTTTACTGATCATTTGCTATATAGCAAAAAAATAGTGTTACATGTTTTATGAACAAGCTTTTTGGGTTTTTTTTTTCGGTCTTTAGCTCCAGGTCAGCTGGAACTCACTATGTGGACCAGGCTGGCCTTAAATTTGCAGAGATCTGCCTGCCTCTGCCTCCCAAATGCTGGGATTAAAGGCATTTGCCTGGCATTAACACATTCCATTTTTACAAAATATTTTTTTATATTTTATTTATTATTTTTATTTTATGTGTACGAGTGTATTGCGTGCACCTGTGTCGTGCAGAGCCCAAGGAAGACAGAAGAGGCTGTTGGATCCCCTGGGACTGGAGTTACGGACAGTTGTTAGCTGCCACCT